TATTCACGGGCTGTTTGGGTCTATTTACTAGGGGCGGGCAAGAATCCCGGTCCCGTTGTCCCATTCCGGTATATCCCGAAACCGTACCGGTGTTGTCCCGTTCCGTTTGGGTCTCATTGATTTTGTCCCGCACCGGTCCCGTACCGGTTTAAAACGGGACGGGACCGGGACATTGGAAGGTTATCCCGAACCGTCCCGTTGTCCCGTTTGTAATAACTATATAGATTTTGTAGCATGTGACTAGTGTGTAATGTCAACTCAAAAAATAAATGGTAACATGTTTTTAGTTCTTCAAGCCCAATTTTTAAATTAAAAATAATACCTAACATGAATATTTACTAACATAGATTTTTATCCCACTTTATATATCTACATATGAGTATCTCACAGCTAGAACACATGATTTTGAATAAACTAATTCATTTTTGCTTTGTTTTAAATTTAAATTTCAAATTTTGCTAAACCTAACTAAAATCTAATACGTAGTACTCCCTCCGTCCCCCTAAGTTTGGGACGAAGGGGTGTGGTGTGGTTTTTAAGAAAAAGTGGAATTGTGTGGTTGGTATTGAATTGATAAAGTGTAAATAAAGTAAGAATGAATTCTAACCACTCAAATGTTACCAAATATGGTATGGGACAAACTTAGTGGGACGGACGAAAAAGGTAAAACGGGACAAACTTAAGGGGACGGAGGGAGTAGCTTTTAGCTTGTGATGAACATCAATTAACTTTTAAAATGTTAATATTTTGATGCATGATACTTTAGAAATGCTAATATATATTAATTACAAATGATTACTTTTTGTTAGTTTGGGACGTCTCAAACCGTCCCGAACCGTTCCGAACCATCCCGGTCCCGATTTAAATGGGACAACACTAGGACAAAGGCTTGTCCCGTACCGTCCCGTCCCGTTATTATTAATTGGGACGGGACCGGGATAACCCTAATCCCGAACTGTCCCGACCCATGCCCACCCCTACTATTTACTGCGTGATAAAAAGGAAGTACAACGATTTTTCTTTCCTTCATAGCTATGGTTGAAAAACAATTCGAGGTCCCTGTTAAGATTGTACGTAGCGATAATGGGACGGAATTCAAATGTTTGTCATCCTATTTTGAGCAACAGGGTGTTGTGTTTCAGACTCCATGTGTACACACGCCTCAACAAAATGGTAGGGTAGAGCGCAAGCACCGCCATATATTAAATGTTGCTCGAGCATTGATGTTTCCGGCTAATGTGCCTATTTCTTTATGGGGTGAATGTGTGCTCACCGCCGTCCATCTCATTAACCGTACCCCCTCAAGGCTCTTGGAGGGAAAAACACCCTATGAAGTACTTCATGGAGTGGCACCAGACTTTCAGCACTTACGAGTATTTGGGTGTTTGGGCTATGCTCATAAATTGAGGACTGGCGGAAATAAGTTTGCTCCGAGGAGTCGGCATTGTGTGTTTATTGGGTATCCAAACGGCAAGAAGGGATGGAAACTCTACGATTATGACTCGATCGGGAGACATATTTGTGTCCCGCGATGTGAAGTTTTATAAGGACGAATTTCCATTTTCAGCATCCTCTAATTCGTCACAATCGGGGAATGAGAAGGACATGATGGATATGCAGGCTACTGAACCTATGATTTATGATGATGACACACCGGAACCAACACATGCGGCCACTACAGGTGATACCGAATTTGCCATGCATGTACATGCAGAAGACGGTATTAGGCAAATGTTCTGTACCTTCACTACCTTCGAAATAATAAAGGTGCCATTAAGATTTTCATTCATCATTTTTAATGAGTTTCCATTTATGGTTGTTTTTGGGGGAGGATCTAGGGCACTGAGTTGGAATAGGTCGGTACAAATAACATTTTTTTGAAAAAACATTTACACATGATTTTTTACCTAAAAATTTAAATATTTTGGAAATTTGGGGTAGGTTGGAGCCTAGGTTGACCCCTAGATCTGTCCCTGTAATAGGTAAATGTTCTGTACCTTCACTACCTTCGAAATAATAAAGGCGCCATTAAGATTTTCATCATTTTTAATGAGTTTCCATTTATGGTTGTTTGCGGGGGAGGATCTAGGGCACTGAGTTGGAATAGGTCGGTACAAATAATATTTTTTTTGAAAAAACAATTACACATGATTTTTTTATCTAAAAATTTAAATCTTTTGGAAATTTGGGGTAGGTTGGAGCCTAGGTTGACCCCTAGATCTGTCCCTGGTTTTTTGAAGTTGGCCATATTTGTGTTTACAATAATGATACTCCGTATAACATTTACAACTATAATATCAAAGCAATTTTCTAACTTTTGATATATGGTTAGGTTGAAGCATATCTGAAGAAGCAAAACCCGGTAAGCAATTCAATGTCGAATCTAAAGAAGCTTTGGGGCTACGAGCCAAAAAAAGGGATGTTTGGAAAATGGCGTTTTAATGACTGAATCGATAAATTCAGACAATCTAGTCAATGAAGATTGCATTAAGAGCCCTTTTGGCAACACTGAAATAGAATGAATCGATTGATTTTGCTGAAATTTATGTAGTTCTGATTGAAGCAACTAGATTGTATGAATTTGTCGATTTATGAAATATTTTTTATTAATATGTAATCCGTCAAAGCTTACCGCTTTGAATTGTCAAATTTGCCCAAATAAAAAGGGATGAATGGAGATACTACGTATTATTTTTACTCCTAAATCCTAGATTTTCCCATAATTATTACGGAGTACATTAAATATCGTTTCACTTTAAATTCCCATGTGGTGTTCGGGTGTCAGCACTTCTCGATGGATCAGTTAGAGAAACATGGGGCATGTGATATGTTGGTGACACTTATAGCCTTTAGTTAGTTGATGCCACACAAGTATGGAACCTTATCTATTCAATTCAAGGGAAACACATGCCCGGCCGGCCGGTGGATTACATTTCATTGCTTTGATCGATTCAGTAATAAAATTTTATAGGAATTGACCCACAGAAGCCATCATTTTCATTGAAGGGACTGAGTCAAGGACCTACTTAAAAATATCAAAATCAAAGTGTTCAATGGCTCGTTCACCATTATTGCGAGTTTATTCCCACACTCTTCTCTAAATTTTGTAATTAATGCTCCAAATATATGAACCAATTACATATCTATAATTGGAAAAGTTCCCGAAATAGGACTAAAATAGTTTGAAAATTCTGAAATAGGACTGTCATGTTTTTTATTCCCAAAATAGGAGTAATTACTGTCATGTTTGGAAAATAATGTCATGTTTAAAGTCTGGTACTGCCAAAACATGGTATTAATTAGTCCTATTTTAAGAATAAAAACATGACAATCCTATTTTGGAATTTTCTATCCTTTTTAGTCCTATAATTGAATTAGAAATTATTTCGGTTCAAAAAAAATTAAAAATTATTTACGAAAATGTAATTAATATTTATAGACTTGCCATAAAAATGGGTATAATTAATATTTATAGACTTGCCTTTACCCCTTGCATTCTACCCTGTTACCCAAATTAAAATTAGCCATTAAAGGGTAGGTTTGCAACTTTATCACACTTTCTTGGTGTTTAAGTAGAAAAAGTTTGAAATTTTGACTTTAAGAGGGAGTATTAAGGGGGTGTTTGGAACTGATTCTGCTTCTGCTTCTTTTTTAAAGCAGAAGCAGAATCAGTTTTGAGAATCAGATCCAAACACCCCCTAATTACACTATAACTCCTTCCACAGCAAAATAAGTGTCCCATTAGCTTTTCATGTAGTTTAAGTTAATTTATAGGTTATACGTGAACTTTTTAAAGAAAGTACAAGTTTTTTGGTACCGTACGTACAGGGCCGGTCCTGGGGCATGGGCAGGAGGGGCATGCGCCCAGGGCCCTTTGCTCCAGTAGGGCCCATAAATTTCTCAAACATATATGTGTACATAATTATTTTAATTATATATACATCCTAAATCCATAAAAAATAAAATCAAACTTATATTTTTAGATACTTCTAATTTGTTATTTACCATCTACACGATACAAGTCTATAATTTAGAAACATTTACATTAGAATTCGTTGGGAACATATTTCACCATTTCTTTTGAATCATTAAAGATTATTACATTAAATTTAATCTTTTAGTGACTTAGTGTACATGTCTTATGTATATCCAGAATTCATTGATGTATTTCACAAATTTCCTCCAATGCTCTCTTTAGTGAAAGATTGAACTTTAGTGTCCATAATTTAGAAACTTAGAATTTGTTTTTGTCCAGTGAAAATGAGATTTAAAATATGAAATAGTTACTCCTTAATTATACAAGATATAACTTTCACAACTTTCTTTAATTCAAATTTTTTATTGTACCTAATATATAGTTGCAATACTTGTTTCACTTGGCTGTTAGGTACATTGTATCATCGAATGTCACTTATCAATAGATTCAATACCCTCTATATATATTTTCTAACCACATGCTTTGTTGGTTTTTTTATGTGTTATACTAGTATTTTGACGGTAATATTGTATAATTTTAAATTATACTAGTATATTTTTATAGCAAAAAAAAAACAGTATAAACATTCTCGCGCTATCCCTGAGGCCCAGCCTATTTGTATTGTCCCGGGCCAATAAAATGTCAGGACCGGGCCTGCGTATGTAGCACTAATATTTACGTAGTACTTTATTAGAGTGTACTGTAGCTACTTTTAAGGTGAGTTTCTAATAAAAGTGAGCATTTTTTGATACATTCGAAAAGAAAAATGTAACACTTATTTTGATGTTGAGGAATAGATAACAAGGGGCTAGTGGAGTAGTGGAGCTGCATGTTCTCCTCATTTGAATGATGTCAAGCTCCTATAGTTGATGTGTAAACACCTTATTGCATCAATATATCGATCTACCATTCGACATTTCGGCCCCAACATTAAAGAAAAACAATCTTTTCTTTAATATTTGTAAATTTCATTTGTTATTTTATAGATTTGTTTCCCTGCAGAGGCCTATATATAAAGCACGCCCAACTCCACAAGAAATCCTCACAAAAAGGAAGAGTCTTGAATAAGTAGTGAGGTTTATTGGTTTAGTTATTAGTAAGAGTAATATCCTCACTAATTAAGCTAGCTAACAACAATGGCAACTAAGCATCTCTCATCAGCCCTTGTGTTCTTTGCCATATTCCTTGCCTTCTCTGTGCTTTCTGCCACTGCTATGGCTTCCATTCCTCAATCCAATTTTGATGTAGTAAGTGCCTTCATGTTTTATTTTATTGCCTTTTTAGAGCTGTTCACATGTGTATATATGGGGTTTGCCATCTTATAAACAACTCATCTATTGTTAATTATTGTATCAGGCACGTTATGGTCCCGGAAGTTTGAGGCCCACACGTAAGTCATTTGCACTTTCAATATGAAATCGATCTAAGTGGCTAGGAGATTTATATATTTATTCTTCTAATAACTTTAATTTTATCTAGTAAGGTGTTCTTCTAACTTCTATCTATCTAACTCCTCGGATTTTGTAAAAATAACAAGAGAAGACTTACTCTCGTAACATTTTGTTGTGAGACCTTTTGTTTGAACATGGGAACTCATAGTGGTATATTGCTGGACTGTATATAGTTCTAGTCTCTAACTTTACTTACTTGCAAATTATATCATGCAAGTAATAAGTTTGTCCACATTAAGTTCTTTTGCGGTGAAATTCAAATTTCATAAAAAATGCTAGCTACTAATGTGGATCTTTTCTGTTGGAAAGGTCCTTGACAAGGGCAATTTATTAACTAGAGCATACATAAAAACTGCAAATGATTAAAGTTACATGATTAATAGTGGACACGTGTATAATTAAGTTACGGGACAAAATATAGAGTTGTCCCATCTAAATGAGTGTGTAATAGTGTAAAACAGTTTAACGATTAGCGTAGCTAACTAATTAAATCAGTATACATATTGTAGTAAAAAAAACAAAAAAAAAAAACAAATCAATATATTGATCACTTAGCTTGACATTATATTTTTAACCCTCACTAGCTCTAAGAAGTTGGTCTTTAGGATGAAAAGTCAAGGAGATCCATTTCACTATTTAAGTCACATTTCCAATAGAAGATAGTAAAGAATTAATGTATAGTACTCCCCGTATCACATATATCTTCACACTTTCAAAGTGGGTGAGATTAAGAATAGTGAAATGGGGTATGAATTATTGAGGGTATGATGGGGTATGAAATAATGTGATTGAATGAAGGATAAATCCAAAAAAAGTAGGTGTGGTAATGTATTATTTTTTAAATTATTAAGGGTAGGATGAGAAGATTTAGAAATGGGAAGATATAAATGTTACATCCAAAAAAGGAAAGTGGGAAGATATGAATGTTACGGAGGGAGTATGAATATTGACAAGGTATTATATTGTTGGAATGTATAATGCAGAGTGTTTGCCGCAATGTACAAGGAGGTGCAGCCAGACACAGTACCACAAGCCATGCATGTTTTTCTGCCAGAAATGTTGCAACAAATGCCTTTGTGTGCCCCCTGGTTTCTATGGCAACAAGGCAGTTTGCCCTTGCTACAATAACTGGAAGACCCAGCAAGGAGGACCAAAGTGCCCTTGATCTAGATATAAAACAATTACACCACTTTTTTACATCTACTTAATTTCAATTACTTCAAAATTAATCCATTTTCAAGATGTTTTAAGAAATAGTAATCCTAAATATTAATAAGATATAGTCCCCTTTTCTCTATATAAGATCGATCGATAACCATGTTATTTTAAATGTGATTTTGTTCACAAATTAAGAAACACTCTCTATATGTTACTAATGAATATGAATAAATTACCCACCCATGTTGTAATTGCCATGTTCCATAATTGTTTATGTTTTTACTGTTCAATATTTCTATCTCTAATGGTAACCATATGTCTACTCAAAGTGTATTACTACTTTGCTCCTATTTAATATTTCAAAAATGCTATTGTTACAGACAAAAAAAACCTACACAGCCATGAGTGTGTAAGTGTGTATGAAAAATGTGTACCTCATATTATAATTGGATAATGTGTACCTCAAATTATAATTGGCCGTTTATATTAGTGTATGAATAATGTGTACCTCAAGTTTGCTAATGTGTCCCTCAAGTTGGATAATGTGTACCACATTTGAGGTACCTCAAATATTAAGGATCATATATCTTGTGGATTACAAAATCTTAACAAGGCCGTTTATAATTTTAATATTATAAATACTCAAAATTTCACATTTCCAATTAGGATCATGTCCAACGTTACATGTTGTGCCACATAATCGTTGTGTCAAAAATATTACTCCCTCCGTCCCATTTAAAGGTTCCCGTACACTATTCTCCAGTACACGTGCATTGTTCTTAATCTCTTACTTTATATATCGAAAGTTTATGAAATTTAAATTATTTTCTGCAGGTTTTGTAGCGGTTTTAATGTACTTTCTGAATATGTTAATTTTATTTACTAAAATTAATTCTACTGATGATAGGGATCAGTTAACTTTATGGTCAGTCAAACATTGTAAATCGTGTGGGACCCTTAAAGTGGGACGGAGGGAGTACGTAATAATGATGGTGGTGGTTGTGGTGTACCTCACAATATACATAACAACTCCAAAGTGACAATAATTTATGATCGATAATAAAAGCATTTAGAATGATAATTAGCAGCTAACATGCCCGTTGATTTTGAATCAGTACTATCATCAAATATATTGTTATATATACACTTACATTGTAGAAGAACACATGGAAAGAATGCGAAAAATGGTTGTAAAAGGTCAACTCTCTGTGGTCCCACCATTTTAGTAATCATGAACAGATATTTAAAGAAGATATCCACAAACTTCTTTTTTTCTTTAACATCCACAATGAATTTTTGAAATTAGTGAAAAAAGAATGAATATATCTTAGCTTGTGTATAAAATTCCATTTTTCATTTAAGATAAGAGTTAATATTCATTAAACTCACCATGCATAGTAGAAGTCTTATCATATTCTTGACCTCTAATTATGAACAAGGACAATTCTTGTATACTTCACAAAACACCACCAGTACTACTATCCAAATAATGGTTGTGTCAACAACATGTCTCATATATCCTTTGTTGAGGTTAAGTCCCGTAGATCCAAAAGCCCAACACACGCTTAGGATATATGGGGATGTGGGTCTTGGTTGGTGGGTAAAGAAAATATAAAATAGTGAAGAAGAAGTGAACTCTGGAGCCGAGCTTGTATTAATATCGCAAGTACGAAGAACTACCCGAACAGCCTAACGGAGTAGTGAATTAATACAAGAATAGAACAATAAATCTCTCTCTAAGCTCTAAGTATTCAAATGCTAACCCCTTCTAATGAATTAAATGCTGCTATTTATAGTAAGGAGTAGTAGGTGGGGGGGACACTTGGCCAACCCCTGTTGGTTGCCGCCTTTCCCGCCGTACTCCCACTTGTTCCCGCCATACTCTAGCATTAAATGCGGTTGCCACTTGATGTGATTGCATCTGGGCACCCCGTTCGGGGTACGGGGTCCCTGCTGGCGTTGTACTTGATGTATTGCCCCTCTGGGGTGAAATGTCCCGAATGCCGGTCAGGTATTCGAGATGGTAACGCTCTTGTTGATTCTTCCCAAGTAGGCTGAATAGCCCGAACGCTATTCGGGCTAGCTATGTCACTTGGCTGACGATGTTCCCTGTGTTGACCCCAAGTAGCAGAGATGTGCCGAATGCTGTTCGGGCATCCTGACCGGGGTGTCTTGTACCGCTTTGGGCCGCCTTTTCCTCTGGGTTTTTTCCCCATTGCGGATCGGGGGTATTGGTCCTGGATCCAATACCCCAACACAAGTCCCCCACTTCCTATGTCTCAAACGGTAGTGAGTGCATGTGGAAGTAGAAAATAAATCATCCTGAATGCCGCCCGGGGACAGACGTTCGAGATCTCGCTTGTTCCCGATGAAATCTCTTGGCGGTTTTAGGCGGCTGCTGCCTCGTCTTTCGGCAAGCGTCATGATTGCTTGGGGAGGGCTCCCAGCGTGACACGCGTCCCTGCATTAAATGCTAGGGACGTGTCCTTCGCTGATTGGCTCGCGGAACGGTGTGACGGGCTTATAAATAGGCCTTTGCAGCACTGATTCCGGGTTTCGAAAATTTTGAATCTCCGGCCTATTGCTCTGCCTTCTCTCTACAGCCCTAAAAAACTCTCTTGCTCAGGTACTCTCTTCCCCTTTTTCCCCTCTTCTTCCTTCTTCTGTTCAGTAGCCATGGCCCCCCCGCTCTCGTTCTACTAGGTCCGTTGTTGAGGCCGCCCCCTTGCAAGAAGTTCGCCCCGATGTAGCAGGAAGGGGCGCCGCCACTGCAGAGGCCTTCGGCAATGATTCCGGCGATGACGCCTCTTCCTCTAGTACCTATTCGGACGACACTAAATCCGATGATGAGATTGCGCTTATGGAGGCCGGCCCCCCACTAGATATGTCGCGTCACAGAGTGGACCTAAACCTAATAAGACTAAGGCGGCAAAAACTCACAGGGCACAATAAAGCCCTAATTCCAATTCTGATCCCGGACCCGGTGGACTTCCGCCTCCAATCCGGGCTCCATTCACGGCGCCACTTACCAGGAATGGTAGTGGTCCATTTCGATTCTGTGAAGGCCGGGCTTAGATTACCACTTCACCCGTTCTTTGTCTCCTTCCTAAACTTCTACGACATCGCCCCGACCCAGGTTATGCCGAACTCGTACCGGGCCCTGGCCGGTTTTATCAGTCGCTGTTCGGACGTGAAGGCGACTCCCACTTTGGAGCTTTTTCATTACTTTTACACTGTAATTCCTCAACACGCGGAGGGATATCTCGTAGCTAGTGCCCGAACGGGTCATTTGTTGTTCTCCGGCTTCCTTTCTACGATCAAAGGATGGAAGGACAGATTCTTCTTTGTTTCTGTCCCAAATGGTCTAATCCCGAAGAAGTGGAACGCCTTTCCCAGGAAATTGCCCGAACCTTTCATCCCGGATGATCAAGTCGACGACGTTGTTTCCCTTGAGAGGGGTGGGGTTTATGACATCATGGACTATTTGTCCCCCGAGCAGCTCGTCAAGGTCGGAATAGGTACTGCCCGAATCCCTGGACTTACTTTGTTTTAGAAGATAAGTGCCACGGCCCGGGCGGTCCTTCCTGTGCGGGAACACTATCCTTTTTTTCACACATGTTGGGGCCATTCGGTACTAATTTTTCCCTTTTATTCTTTTCAGTGCGTGGCCCGGACGCGAACCCTGAACAAGCCATGGATGATAGCAGGCTGTTCGATGTTGGTGTGGATCCTGCAGCCGAGCCGGTGCCGGAGCCTAAGAAGAAGAAGAAGAAGAGGGTGAAGAAGACCGCTCAGGCTGGTCCCTCTCAAAATGCTCCCCAGATCGAGCAATCTCTGCCTGTTCAAGAGGTTCAGCCTCTCCAGGAGGTAGTCTCCGAACAGCAGCCCTCACATGCTGACCTGCTGATGGACAACCTCTTTGTCGACCCGCAGCCTCATCACTTTGAGGCCTAGGATATGGCCGCCCACCACGGTGATCAGGTCGGGCAGATTGAGCAGATCTCTCTAGAAGATCCCGTTCACGATATGTTGGAGCGGAGTGGCTGCTCGGCGAGCCGGATTTGGTCTACAAACACCTTTTCCAACAACTTCTCTCTCCCTAACCTCCCGGTCGACAGGGCCGAGGAGTGTGTGGCACTGGCTGCCCTGAAGGTACTTCCTCCTTCCATTTCTCGATCCTCATGATGTTCTGATCGATATATTAACGCTATTTTGCTTGTTCCCCGTACGTCCTCTAGGTAGGGCTTTACAGCCTTCAGCTTCGTGAAGCCAGGCTGGCCAAGGAGTGGGAGCTCATTGTGGCGAAGGAGGATGCTAGGCATGCTTCCTCGTCCACTCTCCAGGCCGTCGAGATGGAGCGGCGCGCCTTTGCCGAGGAAAAGCGGAAGCTTGAGGCCGAGCGGGGTCAACTTCGGGTTCAGGTGGCTGGCTTTCAGGCCAAGATTGCTGCTGCTAAGGCCGCACAGGTAAAATTTAGGGAGGAGCCTTTCCAAATCCAGGACGGTCCCCCCGAAGTGATTGCGGACCTCTCCGCCGTTCGGGATGGTTTCAAGGCTGCTGAGGAGTTCCTAGCTCTGAAGAAGGAGTATGCTCTCGAGCAGCTCCCTGATGTTTTTGGGGAGCATCTGGCCAAGCTGAGCGGCGAAGAGCGCCAGAACGAAGGAGTCAGGATGCTCGATCAGCATCTGGTGACCAAGGGGTTCACCGAAGCCCTCGCCCGGGAGGTCTATGGCTCCGGGTGCCAGAACATGTTGCAGCCGTTTCTTCCCCTTTTAGAGAAGGGATTAGGCCGGCTAGTGCAGCCGTCAAACTTCCCCGGTCTACCCCCTGGTCACCTGAATGCTCTGTAGGTTCAACTTGCTAAGTGCAGGTGTGCTCTGGGGATGGAACCTGTCAAGGCTATCGAAGCGGATGTCGAAGAGGATGACGATGATGAAGAGGGTGAGGATGACCCTGATCAGTAAAGTAGCTTTAGGTCCTTTTCGTTTTATGGACTGTAATTTTTGGCCAGTAGCGCCGATGAACATACCAATGGAGCTTTTTTTCCTTCCTACTGTAATTTTCCGGCCGGTAGAGCCGATGAATATATAAATGGAGCTTTTTTGCCTTCCTACTGTAATTTTCCGGCCGGTAGAGCCGATGAATATACCATCAATTTTCGCTAAGTGTTGCTTCCTTTTATGATGATACTTGTTATTTTCCTGACTCCCTTTTGCCCGGACAGCACGTCCCTGCCCGTTCAGAGTTATCTTGGTTAGTCCTTGCTTTACCCTTAGCTAGACTGATCGTTCAAAATGGGTTGAGGTACCATTTTGGACTTAGCCAAATTCCGGCTTCGGCTCACCCGTACGGGGATGTTAGTCCTTCGTTTAACTCCATTTGGTCCTTCCCGCTCGGGGGCCTTATGTTGAAATCCATATAGGACACTTAGTCATCGTTCAGATTGTATCCTTCCCGCTCGGGGACATAGGATATCTGTTCAGGACGTCATACC